TTTGTTATTTGTGTCTGTTGTAAAATAAAATCAGTAAAATTAGCTTTAAATCATTAAGAATTGCAAACTTTGCCCTTGAGTAATCATGTTTTTAAACTCAGTATCAAAGTAATTCATCAGTAATTATCAGTACATTCAAACGTAATGGAGCTTATGGAAGAACATGACAAAAGAAACCTGACACAGAGTTGAGCAGCAAAATCCAAATTAAGTTCTGCATAAAAAATCCAACAAGTAAATATAATTAATGCAAAAAGATAAATAAAAGGCAAAAAGACTCACAAGGAGATCAGACCCATATGGAAAAGAAATAAAATTAAAAAAACAACTTAAAAAAGACTTGCATCAGCTTTAGCTTGCTTCATATAGTGATTCATATAAGGCTTATATGATTTACTCATGATAGTGGCCACTTCCCAGTTAAACAGATGTTTGGTGCAGACAGATGGAGCAGCCAGATGGCTGACTCCTCATGCGCACTGATCTGTTTCTCACTAGTTAACCAACTGCTAATTTGAAAACATGCCGTTTGAAATGTGGCCACGGGATAATTCAAGTGGATCGCTGAGTGAAGGAACTGAATGAGAAAGTGACACCATCTTACTACAGTGATTCCATCCATGAGGAATAACGTTTTCATGCATTATACAATTGTAGGACAACATAGCAGAATAATGATCCAAAGAACAGAGCACAAAAAGCAACAGATGTGTTTAAACAGGAATGATCCATATTCACACAAGACGTGAGAAAAGGCCAAGCCTGCACATGTCTGAGTTTTCATTAAGTGGCATAAATTATCTGTCAAGAAAGTTAAATATGGATTTGAAAGGGTTTTAAAGTTATGCACTATGATGGCAGCTTGAATTTGGCTGAAGACCAGGGGTTATCAGAATAAGGGGTAGATTGTATGGTGTGTAAAAGATGGATACAGCCAGTGTGATGCCATCCATCAAGCTGAACATTTCTTCTGTCATCATCATGTTTTGAAACTACATGTGATGAATGAGGGGCAGTTCTTACTGGGAAACCAAGAACCACTTATTTATGAGATAGGTCCACCCTAAAACATGCCCTCCGAAAGTGTTTAGTCCAGTCACAGTTCAAGGCAGCACAGAATCATTTTCCCATTGATTTGTAATACCAGGTGATAGTGGGGAAGAAGAACTCAATAAGAAATAAAAACAGAATCGAATGCAATCTCACAGACTTGCATTTCATATACAATAGAACACAGAAAACAGAACAAAAGTGAGAAATTGCACCATTTTAAAAAAGACTGGTGCATTTAAAAAGAAAGTAAATGGTACAAAAAAGAAACAATTTGCAACTAATTAGATTGATTGTTAACTTGTCATTAACATGATTGGATATAAAAAGAGCTTTTTAAAAGAGGCAGTTTCTCAGAGGTAAAGATGGTAAAAGGCTCAACTATTCACAATGTGGGCTAAATATATATATTACACTTAATATATATATTAAAATTACACTGTGACAGTTAAACATCTGTATCAGTTACAGTTTATTAAATATCAGGAGTCAGTTAAATATCTTCAGGGTTGAATGTTTTTGACATTTACGTTACAGCCTTGATTAACACTGTTCACTTCCTCAGTCTCCTATTTTCATTTTTGCCAGCTAAAGAAAATGTTATAATGAGTCAGTTTCCCCCTCTGGAAGACCGTAGTTTTCATACACAACAACCAGCGATGTGAAGTGCTCAGTCATCACCCTAACAGGGACCCCCTCATCCAGCCAGCCTGTTCCCTCTCAATTAGCAGCATCTTTGCCTCAAGTGACTCTGTCAGCTCCAATCAAGGCAGCCCGTCTTCTCAGAGATGACTGAACATCCAGCTCGCCTCCTCAAGGCTGGGCTCCAAGGACAAAAGAGCCAGCACGTCAAGAAGACATGAGAATGGATAAAAGTGAAGAAAACACGGGGAAATTACTAAAAGCCTAAATATGTTTCTTTTTATCCATGCATGTTCCATCTCTGATGCTAAGGGTCATTCATTTTTAATAGGACTGGGATTTTTGGAAGTTATAGCTGTAAAACTGTAGTTCATTATCTTTTTAACACTGGTGTTTTGCTAGACATGATGCTCACGGTAAATTAAATCAGTGTTGTGGCATGTTTGCACGTGTATAAGTAGCATACAGGGGAAATTAGCTTTAAAATATCTGGAACAAAGTTTCCAGACTTCTAACACAGTTTGATTAATGCAGTTTTTAAGCAGTTATGTTCCTGTGACAGTTAAGATGAAAATTATGGGTCCTGCTCTGCTTATTTCGCTATTAGCACAGTCTAATCACCAAAGGATTTCCACAATGGCTTCTGAGTGCTGAGACTTGCTTCAAGAAGGACTTTGGTATATACAAATGCAATATTTATGATAACTCTGTTTACCCTCATAGCCACGTATTAGAGTGGGATTTGGCAGGTTGGGGAACCCTGAAGCTGTTTTTAAAATTTGAGAAAATCGTGCCTGGATGCTTTTCATAGCTGCCCTTTCTCATACAGCAGGGAACATCTGGCTTCAGATGCTTTCTCATTACTGGAAATACTCTCCCACTCACTAGGTGCAAATGAACCACATAATCAGCAGCGCTACTCACATATCGACACAATCCAACATCACACTGGCTTTTTACTATGGTTAAGGGGAAATTAATCTTCCTCCAACATGTACAGTCTGACGTATAAAGTATAAAGTTTGGCACGCTTTATAATCAAAACCATTAACAGACTAAAACTCAGACTGATGACTACTAACCTAACAGTAGCCCACTCTGCATTAGGTCAAGTTCTATTTATTTTACTTATTTATTTTAAAGTACAACACCGTATGTCAAACAAAAAAATTGTTCCCTATTCTCACAGAGAAAGAAACATACACTAATAAAGTGGCTGGCTTATTAAAAATCTAAACTTATACCATTGCTTTTTCAATTTTTGTTCTTTTTTCCATCTTCAGGCTTAAAGTTGTCAGACTATGTCTGTTAAGGTTCTCCGTCATCCAGGTCATGGTAGTCTAACAAGCTTGGAAAGAAAAGCGTCTGGACTAACTTAAGTTTCTTGAAGACGTTTCACCTCTCATCTGAGAAGCTTCTTCAGTTCTAAGAGCAACTGAGACAGAGATGTTCACATGTTGGACAGAGAGACAGATGGTGTGAATGACCATCTTTGAACAGAGGCGGAGGCTTACGACACCAACTGTTTGACATCTATGATCCAGTTTTGGGATCCCTTCCCAGACGCCTTTACAGCCACTCACATCCTGGGTCATTTGATCTCAGGAAATCACATGATAGGGTGGGGCTAGGTTTTACCAATGGGTTCACCTGAATCCTTGGCTGATTGTGACCTACACCCGTTTTCCCACCTTGGTTTGTGTGATTAGGTAGAGGATCAGCAGGAGGTCTATGACCCTTTAAGGAACACTCCCATAGGCTTAAAATCTGGGACTTTCCACCAATAGCTCTTAGAACTGAAGAAGCTTCTCAGATGATAGGTGAAACGTCTTTAAGTTACTTAAATAAGTCCTAACACATTTCTTTCTAAGCTCCTTAGAAAGGTTTTCAGGCATTTAACTGTGTTAATAAAGTTTTTTGACATTATTTTGGACAAAACTATCAGATTTTTGTGTCTATTCATCAAAGGTCTTGAGCCCACATTAAATCATAGCTCCTTAATGCCTAGTCCAGTTTGCATAAAGCAACAGTGCCATCTGTGTCACTTTGCTTTTATTTAACTCACAGACATGAATGCATGTCTGGTCCTGCATGTTGGATTGTTAATTGAAACCGGCAGCACTTATCGGAAAACCTCATCGGGGCTCGGGCAGCACAGCTGCAGGGCATTTAATAGTTTGTAAATGTAGCTGCAGACGTCATTTTGGCCCAGTCGATGTTTCATACTGCTGTGGTGTTTATTCTTCATTACCACCCAGACAAATATATATAAGCTATTTAGTCATCCAAACATGATCAATAGATCCAGTTTGGTGAGTGAAATCAGCTGAAAAGACTATAGCGCACGGCACTTGTATTCACGACTAGTTTCTTCGACTAAAGCGTGTAATCTACACACTAATTTAGTTCAAAAAGTCCTTAAAACTGAACATTTGGACTTTTCTTCAGTTGAATTTTAAACCTTTTAAGCAATGTTAAAAAAAATCGAATCAATGCAACACGGCTCTTTGCTCTGACTGTAAGCAACCACATATTGGTAGAAATTTTGTTCACGACTGTTCCTCAAACACAATATACAATATATTACAAGTCATGGCAAAGATCATGTCATTTGCATAATATGTCTCTTCCATTATACTGATCTAATATTTCTATTTCTTTGAAAGAATTCAGTATTTGTGTCTGAAGCATGAGATGAAATCCATGATGCATTACTCTAATTAAAATCTGTTACATGTGAACTTCAGCTAAGGAGTCAGAGTGACCACAGTTCACTGCCCATGCTGTTTTTCTCTTATCTGATGAGAGGAATTCATCCTAATTAGAGGGCAGATAAAGGACATTTGTTAGACAGCATTGTGTAAGATGATTGGACCACCGATACAGTCTGTTTGTTTTGACAATAATATCATTACTCAAACAAACATTCATCTTCATTGCAGCTTTCAGATTTTAGCAACGTATAAAAGAGCAGTTCGAGACTACATACCTTCACCAACACGAGGCAGGAACTGAGTCCGTCAGTCTGGATTAGCTTCTGATATTTCCAAGACATCAAGACAGTGTGCCCAATTAGAATTTTAATAACCCTTGCACTAAATATATATATGAAAAAGAGTGTAACCCAGGATTAACCCAGGATTTCATAAGCTTGTTATGGTGTGTTTACTTGATAGGTTAGTAAGCGTCCACTGTGAGAAACCAAAGTTGTTTTAAACAACTTTTGCTTTGTTCTGATCAACCTTCAACCGCTGAAACTTTATAAAAGACTAAATAAACCAGAAGCAACAAAAGCAGTGCACAGAATCTGTTTATTTTTTTTAATTTTCATTCAAGCTGTGCTTCCATTTCAATGTCCTTGTCACATGTTCGGATGTCTTTTAAAAGAAAACAGTCACTAATTTCCAACCACATCAATCAACAATGAGCTGCAAAAGAGTTTTCAACAGGCTAAAAATAATAATAATTGCAACATTTGAAATGTGCTGAAGGAGAGACTGCTTTAAAACATTTTAGGAATCTTCTTTTGGGCTTTGTGAACCACAATGGAGAACTGCCTGCTTATTTGGGTACCAAATAAGAAAACAGGTAAAGGTAAAGACCAATTCATGGTTTCTGCGGACTAAACTCAAACAAGCAGATCTGAACATGTTATGTGCACTAGCAAAGGAGTCTATCGTGAATATGGTGAAGGCTGGATATTTTTAAAATTCATTATAAAATGTAATATGCCATAAATGGATACCATAAAGTACACTCTTTGTGTGAGCTGAAGAAGCCAACACATCAAATTTTAACCTTTTGATGGTGTAACGGTGCACAACCTGTTTTTTTATGTGCAATATTGCTAGAAGAGACAGACACAACCACACACACAAATAGCAACCGAAAACAAGATGTGGAAGTGTCATCAATAAAATATACATGGTGGAAATTTATGTGGTGCAAAAACCAGGTTTTTATGTAAGTTTTTTGGCACATATTCTGTTGTTTCCCTCTGAGGACCCAAAATTTGGGCTGTGCATGAATTTCCTCACAGCTGGCTATGTGGCCTCTTCAACATGGAAACCATGAACTGGCCTTGAGTTAGACTCTAAAATGAATAAATTATAATAAGGCCAGTAGCTACTGTTCTCAGGTGGAATAAAAGCTTCCACGACATTTATACAGCTAGGCTCATTCCTGTTTGAGATGAAGACGGTATCAGCACTGAAGGGGCCACCAACTGCTGGGATACGCTTTAGATTGTGTAGATCAGGAGTCTCCAACTCCAGTCCTCGAGAGCTACTCTCCTTCAGCTTTAAGATGCATCCTTGTTCCAACACAACTGAATCGAATGATTGGCTTGTTACCAGGCCTTTGCTAAACTTGATGGCCTGCTGAAGAGGTAATTCAACCATTTCATTAAGCTGTGTTGGAGTAGGGATGCATCTAAAATCTGCAGGACCAAAGCTCTCGAGGTCTGGGCTGGTGTAGCTACTATAATGGGTTCAAAGATTTTAAAAGTAGTTTTCAGAGTCTTTGAATCACTTGAGGCTATTAGTAATGATGATAATTACACAATTTGCAAGCTTTTGAATGGTTTTGGTTCAGATTAGTTTAAGGAAGAAATGGATAAAGCCAACCCCAGTGACTTCAAATGATTTTGAACTGCAAACAAGTTTGGCCCAAGTGTCTAGAATTTTCAATGTAATAAATGTTACCACACAGAAATCATGTTCCTATCATTGAGAGGACAGTAAAACAAGCAATATTAAATAAAATGCAAATTTCCAGAGAGTTACATTCACACAGTGCAATGCTTACAATGGTAGCCTTTATCAATCATCTTTTGCATGACATTCATGGTGTCTAAGTACAAATACATGTGTTCAGGCGACATGATTCGTAGCAACATGTCAATCAACATTAAATATGAATTCACTCGGCAAGTCAACACTGTGTGCTGTATATGGTTTTGTAGACTCTCAATCATTTGTAGTCACATAGATGTTAAATGACACACTGAGTAACATAGTGACATCTTTTAAGGTACTTGGTAACACTTTCATTAAGGCAACAGCTTTGTTTTGAAATTACAACTGAAATTTCTGTACAATTAAACAAGTTGTTTAGTTAAATTAATCGACATTGATTTCAATAGATGATCACATGTTTAAATCGTTATTTAAACATGACCAGGTACAGCTTGTTAAGTGGGAACATTTACTTATTTAGTTTCTGTTTAAGGACCAAATAATTTTTTGACAAAATCAGCAGCAGCTGAGCTAAAACCTTAGTATGGACACCTGTACCCACCTGCTACTAAAACTGTTAATAAATATCTTAGACTAAATGATTGCTGTGTTTTTGTTTTGGTGTGTGAGGACATTTCATCTCTCTTTCAAGACGCTTGTTGGGTTGAGTTGGGAGTGTGGGATGAATTGCCTGGTGGGGTTCTTAAGACTGCATTCTAGGTTACTGAGACCTGGTGTTTTAAGCCGCCACCTCTGTTTAGTGCTAACTGTTTACAGGAGATACAGACGGCCTATTTTACTCCTGTCACAGACACAGATGAGTCTGTCCTGTTGAGCTGGCTCTTTATGTTGTACCATGCATCTGACTGGTTGTAGGTGGATGACAATGACGAAACAGAGGGATGATATTTCTTCACAAATCAAAAAGTAATCCAGTAATCCAAGGTAACTAAATCCAAGTACTTAAAACTACCATGAAGTGGATTACTAAGAAACTACAAAGACATGTTACCATGAAGAACACAGTTGTCGTTATCTATACTATTCAAACATGCTTTATCTTTTTGCCCCCGCTTTTTTTGTCATTTCCTTTTCTGTTCCTTTCCAAATTTTTAACAAAGCACCATTTGCACCATAGACAGTGAATCCATGCTGCAAGTCTTCTCTTTAGGCATCTCCCTGTCTGTCTAATAAGTTCCCATAAAATAAAAGCATGAATAAAATCCCCAAAATAATTCTTGAAAGAGTAAAGCCTCATACATTCCTAGTAATGTAATATATAGTATTTTGTATCATCTGCTGATATGCAGAGGATACCATAAAAATGTAATAAATAATAATGGCTTTAAAAACAAAACAGGGAAATTTCAAGAATCGCCTCTGCCTCAGTGTTGTTCACCCTGCAAAACACATTGAAATAAGTTTGGACAAATATCTGATCTCCTTCTTCAAATTTTATGGACCAGATTACTTGCTGCTGCAAGTATGACTTTACCTCGATGTTTATGTGTATTTTATTAACTATATTTTGTGACACAACGCAAGAAGTGAATGCTGATTTAAAATATAGGGACACACACATACACTTAAATTAAAGGTTTGAAGAGGAAACTACTAAAAATAATTCTGTATGCCTTAAATCAAGTGTCACCAGAACTTTTTGTATTGTGCTGACCATTAAATACAACATGTTAAAGAAAAATATAGCACATTGCAAAAAGCAAAAGTTTTCATTTTTTCGCCTTTTGTCTTGACAAAATATACAATTAGAATCTACAAGAAATCACACGTTAACAGCCGTTTACCAAAAGCAATCAAAAAAAGTCAAACACTGAGGATTTCATGCAACTACCACAAAACACTGGTTGCATGAATAAAACCAACATAAAGTAAAACATTTCATAGTTACTTGTATCCACCAGGCACTTCTGCATTAAGTGGTGACAGCCTGGAGGTTCTTCTGCTGAAACACATTAAATGTGTTTTGAAGCGAATTTCTATCATATAAACCTCTTTTTATGTAAGTAATTTTAAAGACAACATTATTTCCCAACACAGGCTCTCACGAACACGCCATCTTGTTAATTAAATGACATCTTTAAAGTGCTCGTCTGTGTTGTGTCTTTAGAACAGGTCACCGAGCACTGTGCCAAAAGCATCAGAGCATGGATGAAGAGTTTGGAGCATGCTCAGGAATTCTCAGTGACAGCAGTTTGTTGACTGTGCATTAAAATGAAAGTGTTTTGGAGAACAGTTTGGATTAAAATTGGTACAAAACAACCCTGTGTTTACCAGTGGTTTTGTTTTGTTTTTAACCATAAGCCCAGAAACACTGAGCTCATGTGCTGACCTGGGTCAAAATGCATTTTCGACTTATTCTTACCAGTAATTTTAAGTGTCAAATGGGTGGGTGTGGCCACTGTGGACCAGTAAATGATTCACTGAAGTGACAAGTTGTCACCTTTCCCTGTATATTTGTAAAAAATCAATCATTAAAACTGACCTTTATTTGAAATGGTTTGAAAAAACTAGGAGAAGCTTATTAAAAGAACAGCCAGAGATACTATAAGTAAAACCTAATGTTTAAAAAAATATTTACAAATCAATTTTTTACAACTCGATTTTATTTTTTTTTAAATTTACATAACCAAGTTTTTCTATTTAAATGATAATAAATGTACTACCCATGGTCTCCAAAACGGATAACATATGCCCAAGTTTGGGTTTGGAGACAGCTGTGGTAAAAAGGCAACAACAATGACTTGGTACTGGAAGCAAATGCTGTGTTAAAGTTGGGTTTGGACACCAGCATTTCTCACAGATTTTTGGAAATATTCCCATTAGGACCCAGTATGCAAACACAACAGCAACTGACAGGAGGGTGGTGAAACAGAAGAGGCTTTAATCAGGAATTTGATAACTTAAGGTGCTTTACAGAGTGACAGCCAGCCAGGAGCACCAAACAACAGGAGAACATTTGGAGGCTAAGAGTCTGTTTTTCTAAGACAAACACCATGGAGAGGGAACAGATGGACTCAATCAAGACAATAATGAGAATAGGAAATTAAAAAAGATTAAACTGAAACAGGGTGAGGAACAAACTCACACAGACACCTGTGATAAGGCTGGGAGAACACAGGAGGCACATGGAAAAGGATTGAAAACATATAAGAACTAAGGTGAGTAGTTTTGCGGGATTTAATGACAGGACTGCCATTTTGCTGCGTTATTGCATACAGCATGCACGTTCTGGAAACTAAATCCTGACACGGCTACCATGAATTTTAGGTCAGTATCAAACAAAAAGGTATTGCAAGGTTTCCCATAGCCAATCTATTATATTTTACAGCATGGCTCCAAAATGACAGCTGGTAAGACTGCAGCACAGTATTACCAGCGGTGTTAAATCGCACAGCAGGCAGCAGTTATATAAAGATTTGTATACTGAAACAATCACCTGTTTTTCTTTCTGTTAAAGATGGCAAAAATGGTTCTGTTTTTTTGGGGGGGGGGGTTTTTTGCACTTTTTGCAAGTGCCAATTTAAAGTCTGCAGCACCTAGATCCTGCTGTTTCTATTACACGTATGTTTGTTCAAAAATATAGATTTCAATGCATGCAACATTCAAGTATATACATTTTATATCTCATCTGTGCACAAAGCTCCAGGTAAAACAGTATAAGGACGTTGCACATGTTTTTCTCTGCTCACGCAGCAGACATCATAGCATAAAGACTGCAAAAAAAAAAAAAAAGGCTCTTAGCAGCAAACACGGTAAACCTCACTGGACAGATCTGAAAAGTTTTTGATCCACTAATGAGAAACTTGAAGGCTTGCAGAGATTTGTAAAGCTAAAACCAAAATCTGCACTACAATGATGTGCAGGTCCCACCCTTGTGGTACTTCATCTCAAAGTACTACTTTTTTGTATTTTCCTAATAACTTTGTAAAACTATTGGACCCAGGTCAATCTTAAGACTGCATTTTTTTGTGTTTTTGTATGTTTGTTTGTGTGTCAAAGACCTCGTGTTCTCACAGCACCGAGGTCTCTGTCTGCAGAATGGACTGGGTTCTGGAGTTGCTGTGAAACTGCACCATGTGCTGTGAACCGTTTCTGGAGGCGAAGGTGTTGTTGTGGCGATTCCTGCTCAGACGACAGTTCAGACACATGCTCCGCCATTTTCTTTTTAGCTCACCTTGAACCTTCAGGAACAGGTAAAATAAATGTTTTTTAAATCACTTGGATCAACTAAACACCAATATAGCTAAAAAACTTGATCCAGTTAGGATTTCAATGCATCTCATCTGCTACTTCTGGGGGATACTAAAAAATGGGATACACAGCCTTTATGTATTTGTCTGTGTGTGTGTGTGTGTGTGTGTGTGTGTTTAAATAATTTGATCCATTTGGTCCAGCAACATTTGGCATGATTATGTCTGATTATCTGTATGATCATCTTATATAAGCCAGGATAAATCAGCCTGCTTAGTTGGTGGAAAATTCAGTTTCCCATTCCCCAATTTCAGTTGGAGCTCGGGGCTGCAGAATGGTGGCAAGAAGAATGCTGTGAGACAAAATTTACAAAATCTTTCTCAGCATTTGCATCAATGAGCACCTTCCACTTTAGGAAAAGAACAAGGAAAAGATGCTTCCTTGTTATTTTGTATCCAGTTGATCAAATTGCCTGAGTGGCATCTTAAATCTATAAATACTTTCCTCCTTTTTGATATCTGCCATTCATCTTTGTTTTTCTTCATATTCTCCATGAGTATCTATGGAGAACATAAAACTTTGCTACAGTTCAATCACTACCTCATTCCAAATATTAATCACACATATCAGTTACATCCACAGCAATTATTTGGGATCCCAGGCAGCTTCTAACTGATTGAGCGGAACTTCCTCCATCTGTCAAATTCACCACTCACCAGTATTTATGATAATGTAATGGAACACATCATGATACATCCAATGATTTTACATAAAGTCAAAATGTGTGACAAATTCAGCTGACACAGTGTAGCTAAGTTTACTAATGAATGGAGTCTGACTGGCAGATAGAAGGAGAACACTCAGCAATCAACACTTTGCAGATTTTAATTTTAAACACTTTTGAATAAACTAATATAAGGAGAACACTGAAATGTTGGAAAACATTTTAGCTCCAACAAATTTCATTTATTAAATGTTTCCATGAAAGATTGACAAAATTAAGCTAAACAGGCACACTATCAGTTGAGTATAGAAACATTCATGGAGAGATTTCAAGAGCTTTTCTATTTTGCCTCACAGAAATCACTTTCATTCAAATGTTTTACTGTTTAATCAATTTGACTGCTCATTAAAATGACTAAATCCATACTTTGTATTTTATCAGTTCACCTGATAACTTACCTCACTGTTCAGGAAACAGTAGAGAATCGCCACGACCAGACCCTAAAAAAAAACACTTAATGAAGTAAAGTTTTTTCAGGAAAGTTTCAGAATCGCTGCTTTAAAGGATCAATAAGGTGAAAGACACTTGTTCAGCACCTGAAAAGATCCAAGGGCAAGGTCAAAAAATATTTTATAATCTTCTGCGATGGATTCACTGAGAGTCACGAAGACCACATAGTGGATGCCAAACAAAGGAATCAGCAGGAGTGTGGATTTGGCCAGCCTCCTGAGAGAGAAACAGTCATATACAATTATTTTATGATACAATTTAAGAATAAGATAAAGTGCAGTGTTTCTTTTAACTAGTCATTACAAGACCGATGCAATAAATCAGTTAAACATGGATGACTAGCGTGCCTAATTCATCTGACACAGATTCTTTTGTAGGGGGTCCAAACATACTCCACCATACTCTGCTACCCAATGGTAATTTGAGGCAGTGAAACAGTGGAAAGATCTAAGGAGCTTGGAAAGAAAAGCGTCTGGACTTATTTAAGTTGCTTGAAGACGTTTCATCTCTCACTGAAGTGTCTTCAGTTCAAAGCGCAAATGGAGGAAAGTCACAGATTTATGTGGACATAAACAAAGAAGCCTGTCGGACTTTTTTAAAACTGAGCTCGAACTGTTCTCTTGAATTGAGATAATCTGCTGTCCAGGGATCTGCTGGGAGGCTCACACCATCAATAAATCTGATATCAGAAGTAATCTTTCCAAAAACCCTTTACATCCCACTGCAATCAGACTACTAAATGCACCCATCCATCTGTGCTCTAACACCACGCTTGCTCATGAGTATGGATTTATTTCCAAGGTGATACCAAAGTATTCCCAAGCCAATTAAGCCAGTCAGTTGTAGTGTTTCCCACTTCTGCTCCAGAGTCTCCTCCTGGCTGGACATGCTTGAAAGTCCTCTGCTAATTTGTCTTTATTTATTATTTTATTTATAATATATGTTATTCTATTTCTTTGTGTATTTATTGTATGCACATTCCTCTTTTTTGACTTGTCACATTTTTGTAGGACTTTAATAAATTCTTAAAACTTTGCCATCAACCTTCTTTTGTGTTGACATCTTCAGCACTGCTGCTCCACGTAGATCAAGGATCTGTTCACTACACTTTGTTGGCTGTTTGGCATCAGTTTGGCTCATTTAAGGAACTTTCTTGGATACAATTCCTATTTGTCTCTTTCACACTGTGATTATGAGTTCATAGAAAACCCCATATAAAAATAAATTGACATTTTTGGGCGAAGCCTTTCAACAGTGGAAATCTCAAAAAGTAAGAAAGAAGAGTTGCACTTTTCCAAGTGGCATTGGGATACAAGCGGACAATCAAACTGCTCATGCAGCACACTCCCAGAGAAAACGGTAAAATCCTCTTTTCCTGCATCACTCCCAAGCTGTCAAGTGTCAGCTCAGTCTTCACCTACACCAACAAGAGATCCTGCAGTGAAACAAATTGGGCTTACCCACCACCTCTCACCACTAAATTGTGGATCCCTGTGGACATGAAGAATACCTGACAGCTCAGCACGAGTAAGATTTCACCAGAGAGGAAAACTGCCTGAAGATTAAACAAAGCAAAGCCTTAAACAGACACTAAACTGCAGAGAAAATGTGGCTCCTTAAAGGAACAAAGGTTCCCCCTCGTTTCATAAAAGCAGCATCATGAAACGCTGTCTTGTTGAATGAGCGTTAGCGTCACTCTTATCTCAGTCAGCAATACTAGAGGATAAAAAAATGTTCTTGGTGTCTCAGATGATCATGTTTTATACTTTGAAGAATTTAGCTGACTCTTTTATCCACAGCAGCTTTTACTGACTGAGCAGGTGTCATTTACTTGATGACACAACAGTTGACACAACCTGTCACCTTTTGTTAACTTGGCTTCAAGTGCATGTTGGAAAAAAATGAAAATATAACAAAACTAGGATCCAGGAAGGCAGAGGTGCGGTTTCCTTTGTGCTCACGCTGAGAGCATGAGCACAAAGGAGCATCAAATTGAATCCTACCTGTACTGTGATTGGTCATTGCCGCCCACGTCAGGACACCTCAGCTTCTGAACCAAGATCCGAATGATGCAGATGAACTGAATGAAGTTTACCTTGGGGGGAGTGAAAAAATAACTTATAATCCATAAGGGGTGATTTCTATTTTGCTGTGTTCGATACTTTGCCACCCACCAAATCCAAGAAATAGGAGGTCATGATATAAACGCAATTTAAAACAGGAAGGCCTTGTTCTAAATAAAAAGCAGCCTACTTTATTCTTTTTTTAAAAAATGAGGGATTTGTGTCTCATCATTGAACAGAGATTTTTTTTTGCTTGTTAGGCAAATGTATAAAGTTCTTCCTTAGATACGTAAAAAAACCAGACTGAACTTGTTTTCTGTTACAGTTATTTTCTGTCGTTTCAGATCTTTTTTAAACATTACAAATGGAAATAATTTATCAAAAATTAGCAAAATATCTCTATCGCTGCATAATGCCATCATTCTAATGTTTAGTGTTGTGTTTTTCCTGCTAGCTAAAAGGCGATCATCAGAGAACTTCTAATATAATCTAGAGCTCCTGTTTTCTGGACCTCTGGTTCCTTAGGCGAAACAGTCCAGAATGAATGGGATCCTATGGTGCTGTAGTCCAAACACAGACCTTTTGGCAGGCAAACATTTTCCTCTCACACTTCTCATCATGTCTGTGACACAAGAAGGTGACAAAATATAGTCCTGAGGAAAGAAAATATTTTCACAAGACTCTGTGCAGAAATTAAGAGAGTAAGTATCTGCCAGCTGGTCTGACCACATCTGTAAAAACAGAAGTTTTGCTACTTTGTTGGTTTGGTGTATTTGTGTGTTAACAATATGCCGCAATCTTCTCAGGGGTGGACGTCCCAGAAAATTGACTGTGCTGTACTCAGAAATTGCCCTGCACCCTACAACCATATAACATGGGTACTGGTCACAGTTAAAATATTATGAATATATATGAACATTTAAGTTAGGCTACATCTTCGCAGTTGGCTGATACAAAGCACTGCCTGCTGTAGGTCACTGATGCCTGAGACGTACTGATTTTAAAAAGAAATTGGAGGGAGGGAAGCTGATTTATTATCCTTTAGGATGTTGTAGAGTGGATAAAATGGTCTGTGAGCCACCTCTGTCCCTCGGGCCATATTATAGCCATGTATGCCTTTAAAGGATGAAAGAGATTATGGTGGGCTGTCACTCAGCAGGGCAGCAGGAATGCACTCAGCGGGAATTCCTATGAAGTTAACACCTTGAGACATGAGGTACTAACACATCACACTGCTGTTTTTGGACATTACACAGAACGCTTGGTCATGAGTATGAACTTATTTAAGACTTTCTTTCAGGTTTTAAAAGATCTTAAAATCAAAAGGCTCACAAACCCTAACACTTTAGTGAAATATACCGGGAGAAACAACTGTAATATCATCCGGTAATGCTGTTCGCTGTCTTCTTGATACATTTTATTTTTCTTCACGTGTAGCTGAAATTGGAAAAGGACCGATTTTAAAAGACTACTGTACTTTAAATACAGATCATTTCTGTAGAATGTTATGGAATAATTTGAAAAATATATGGATGTATCAATGGGAATTTAGAAAATCGTACTAGTGAGATCTGAAACATTGCCATAGGTTTCTAAAGGGTTTTAAAACCAGATTTAAAAAATGTGAATAAGGTCAAAGACAGATATTGTTTCACATGACGGACTTATTTGTTTTCCACTTTATGTTTTCAGTATTTGTTTTTTATAATCAACCAGTTTTTCCTTTTAGGCAACTGAATGCTTTTTTAACCAATACGCAAAATCTGCAGGTAAAAATGAAAGCAATGGCTTACCATAATGGAGAATCCAATTGGTCCGTTGATCACCCAGTTGGGTATGGGTTGGTCATTTGTTTCCCAGCACCTGAAGGTCACCCAAAAATATGAATGTAATAGTTATGTAAATATTATTATTATTATTATTATTATTATTATTATTATTATTATTATTATTATTATTATTATTATATATAACAGTAATTAAAAAATGGGCATTTTAGAAAACAGAGGAAGTGCTAGTGGACCAATAAATGTTGAATCGCTGCAAAAAGTACCATAAGATGGAAAGAACCTGGTCTTCACTGCTTAACTTGAGCACTAGTAATTTTTCTACAAATTTGGAGGAAGCCAGATGGTAATAGACCCCATCTTACTGACTCCTTTTCTGAAGTGAGAAAGCATAATTCTAACTCTTTGTTTGATCTTTACTAATGAAGCTCATTTCTGCTGCAGGCAATCCTGTGACCTTCACTTAAAGTCCAAACCTTTACGTGGGGCGTAGATCAGCTAATAAACATTCCAGTTTATAGTGACAGTGTCAATATTATAACTGAGCCCCCAATGTGCCAATCAATCTCTTTTGATGTCACCTAGGTAAAAGGGTACAAGTTTGAAATCTCAAGGTTCTTTTAGATAGATCACAAGCCTGAATGACTACACACCTGTCTCAAATCCCCCCCACCACCACCACAACCGTACCCCAATTAGGCAATGCTGTTAACATGGCACTGCACTTCATCCTCCAGCACATGGACCTCCAGTAACTTATGTCTGGTTATTTCTGTAGACTTTAATTCCTATCAGACTCTCAGATCTTTAGCAACAGATCTCCCCAAGGCTGTGTACACTCTCCCCTGCTTTTCTCCTTGCATACCAACCGCTGCACCTCCAGTGACCAGTCTGTCAAACTCCCGAAGTTCACAATAGACACCAGCCTCATCAAACTCATCTCAAGGATATGTGTGAGGGTGCACTGACAACCTTATGACCAATTCAGAGACAACAGCCAGGAGCTCTGTGCTGTTAAATCAGTGGGGATGATTGGGGTCTTCAGGAGGATCCCATGCCCAACATAAGCCTGCATGACTGCCTGGTGGATACTGTAGGTCTTGGGAGATGAAGACTTCAAAGTTGAGGCAAAACATCAGCTCCCTCATTACAAGACCACAGCAGAGGATGCACCTCCTGCAGCAGCTGAGGAAACCTAAACTCTGAAGTCAGTGCTGGGATACTCCAACTCCTCCTCCCTTGAATCACATCCTCTGGCAGGAGGCTGCGGTCCATCAGGACCAATACTGCATGGTACAGTTTCTTTCCATCTTTATCACTTTATTATTAATGTTAACACTCCCATAATCAGACCATTAAAATCTTCACAATGGACTCCATTGCATGCCGTAAATATTGAGTATTTTTACAAAATGTATATGTTCTTATGGTTCTTATGACCAAAACCATTTTGTTCATTTGGGTCAAACTCTTCACTTTCTTAAGGTCATCGTGTCTTTGGGGGTAAAATGACACATTTAAATATGACAGATTGTCCTAACAATTAAATATTTAAGCTTTCTGGATATTTGGATGGTATGGTTCAATAAAATAAAAGTCAAGGAAACTAAATGACTCACTGTTGTGACTTAGTCTCAGTCTTCTTCTTGGCTTTGGTAATGAACTTAAAACTTAACAAATTTCATTATCATTCTCCTCACACTCTGGAGTGATGTCCTTACTGTCCTTTGCTATCAGACCCTGCCTCAGTAATTGTTATAGACTTGTTTCAGAAGCTTGTTTTTATAGTTCGCCTACACGGCATGACTCATAGATAATGAGCTGCAGTGCCAGTTGCAATAATGTGCAACAAAAGCCAAACGCCACCAGGTTCCTGTGATGACATCTCAAAGCAAACCCTGTCAGCTAAGTTATCCAATAAAGTGCACTTTGACATGTGAGATATTTCTCTTATTAATTGAAAAACTGGGCCCCCTTCCTGCATGGTAATGAATAACAGTCTAATCAATAAAATGCAATTTGAGGCCCTAACGAAAAAACAGAGGCAGTGGCTGTTGAATACCAATGCATGCCTCTCTTTAATGTAACTGGAGCTGCCTAACTTCTGTCAGCCTTTAAAGGAGAATATAATAAACAGCTCCAGAGAGAGCATGACACATGAACACATGTCAACTTGAAGAAAAACAAATTGCAGACTCACATTCAGTCAGAATGTAAATCTATTTAGTAAAATATAATCCATGTATGTTTAACAGACTTCATAAAGTTCATAAATAACAAACCTGGACCGCGTTTCTATGGTGATAACTCACTCTCTGATTGTTACACTTACCCCGTGTCTTCCAGATAAATCCTCGTTATCACCCACGCAGACACAAACACAGTGGGGATTCCTGTCAACAACCATGAAGTATAGAAAATATTATCACATCGTGTTTGCATTTCTTATTTTTTTTATTGCTAGTTACGATTTAATCTTTCTGAGTAAAGTAATGTGAGTTCCATCCATGTATTAAGACTCTAAACAGATTGCTTCAGTGTATATTAAGGCTTTTAATTGTTTGTTGATAAATTCCATCTCAAGCTCAAAACTAGACGGTGTTATACTGTCTTTCAGAGGAGGAAAAATGGAAATAAAAGATGAACATTGCTTCTGGAAACTAACAACCAGCAGGGGAGAAATCCTCTGTTTGGGAAAAGATGTCCCATGGGGATTACCATGACAGTTTCTCAGTCAGGCCTAATCTCTTCTAACATCTGGTTTTAAAATACCAAGAAGGCAGCAGCAGAAAGGCTCAGTTCAGTTATTATGCAACTTCACTAAGGTCTCTTTTCCATTAGTACCTAATAGGATCGCCTCGCCACGACTCGACTCGGATTGGCTGGCTTTCCATTACCATCGAGTAGCAGCAGCACTGCAGACCACGCCCCGCCGCAGTTAGCTTCAGCATTAATGCACAGCTTTTACTTTGTACTTTTTCCCTAGCAACCAGAGGTTGTTGGTGGTTTGCCAACCAGTCTGTGTCCTTGTTTAACTGAAGCCAAACCACGTTGAGCATATATGAAGTTTCTCCTTTTCCTTTACCTTGAGCCATTTGGTGAACTAGTAACTTTTCAGTCAAGCATTATATCAAGTTTGATGCCGTAGGATAACAAATGTAGCACAGTATTGTTGAATTTGAGGGAAAAAACCATTTGACTTATTTGCTTAAATAGCTGCCTAATGCTGCCTAAAGTAACGAGAGCTCTGATATCTAATCAAAATCATAACTAAGCTGCTAAACCTGCAGCTATAACAGAGTGAAAGCTCCCACGTGGCCATTTGACTCAAAATCAAATAAAGAATAAGAAAATGTACCTACCCCAGCCGATGAACATGTAGACAATAAAGTGTCGATTTTCCGAGAAAATGACAACCAGCAGAGTGTGGAGGTACAAACCCTCCACCAGCAGCCAGAAGAAGTTGGCCATAATGAAATACTGGAAAAACACCAGGCTGGCTTTACATCCCACCTAAAGAGAACACAGAAAGAGTACAAAGATGTTAAATAGGCTTTGTGTATACTTAAACTATATAATATCAGCCTTGACTGTACATTGTATCGCTGACTGTATGTGGTTAATTGTAACCATGAGCACAGTGTAGGATAATCATGTATTTATACTTAGTATTCTGATATGTGGGTATACATTTCCATTTTTCCACTGGATCTGTCAGAGAGTTCACCCAGAGCAGATTATGACGTCACAAGCACCAAGCAGATGAGTGCATAAAGGTCAGAGTGCCCTGACAATGAGGGTGAGTGGAGGAGGAACGTCATGAGGGAAGAGTCAGGCAGCTACTGAGGCAAGGAGAGGATCAGATGTCAGCTTTCTGCTGTCAGTTTATTAGCTGAAACTAATACAACAGTCATGAATTAAAACCCGCCTTCATGAAGGTATAACTGGATGATACTTTTGTGGTGTTTCTGTTTTAAAGCTAGTGTGTTTATCAGTCTGTGTAAAGCGCATCAGTGAGCATGCATACATACATAAATAACAGAAACAGGTTGCAAATTTTGTCCTTTATCTTTTGCCCGTCACACTGCTCTGAACAAGTTGCGATCTTCCTAAGTCGGGATTTATAACGTATTGAAATGACGCAGAGGGTAATGGTGCAGATCGGTGAAATATCCATCGTGTTCTAATCCAAGAGTATGACTGTTTTTATCCTGTCAGATGCATTTGGTGCTTTTTGCATTGACAGAAATATTAGCGATAACAGACTTCATCTAGAGGCAGAGAAAGTTTGCATCGCCATAGAAGGTTCGGAGGTGGCAGTTTAAGTGCCAAGTTTGCCAGACAGAAAACTCAGTAAGGCATACTCCTTTGCATACTTTCTGGAGAAAAACACCCCTTGTGCAACATCAGCCCTGCAGAATGAAAGACCTGCAGTAAACATACTGGGAGTAGGTCTAAAATTGGAGTTGGTTGTGTCAGCCTGGGAAAATTGACATTAACATCACTCAAGTGGGAAAAGGAACATGGAAAATAGGCAATAACAAAAAAGTTGCAGAGTTACTGATGCCACACTAAAACATTGCAGATAAATATTTGGCTGATTGCATGAAAAATTAGATCAGTGCCACAAATCTATTCAAATGTTGACTGTGCATTTTTAATATGGTTTTAGGTCATAACAGTTAATTGCTATCCAAATAGAATGATCTAGTTTATAGTAATTCTAATAAATCAGGCAAAGCACCCGGTAAAATACAATATCCTTGTCTTTGTAATGTCCAGGTTATTTTCATGTTCCAATTTTTTAAAGTGTACTAATGCAACAAAGTCGGAAGAATCTCATTCCAAAATGGGAAATCCTACTATCCAAGGAGCACATGGATGCAAGGTTAGAGCACACCAGAGCACCAATGCCAGGGATACCGAGTATCTGTGAGACACCTGTAGCTTTGACAAAATTGTATTATCAATGCTTTGGCAATGAAACTGGGCAGCAATGCAGGCTTTTCTATACACATCAGTGCTGGGTAACTTATAAAAACAACAGTGTAACAATAGGGCACACTTTCACATACTCTTGCTCACAAACTCAGCACAAAAGTGTCTATTACGCAGTGAAGATGGTGCACAGTTTGCCCCACGGAAGCTTTAAGGATTTTCAGGCTTTTGGATTTGCTCCCATGTTTGTGTGGCTCACTGTATATCCCGGGTGTATTAGGAGGACTGGGTACCAGATTACAACATAACTCCTCGTGCGTTTAATGAAAGCTGCTCAGTGGTGCATGCAGTAAAGCTTTTTTTTCTTCTTGTCCACACTTCTTCCTTGATGTTCCGCATGCTTCCACAGTTTTAGGACCAGAAAGCACGCAGGCTACTGGCCCTCTCAGCTAAGCAGATAGGGAGCATGCGTGACTGGCTGTTGTCTCACCGAACACATGAATGGGCTAACTGCCAGGAAATTCTGCAGAGCCACCTTCAGAAAATGATTACTTGAATCTGAAGAACAAACTGTCACAGCAGAACGTTTGACAGTTTGAGATGTTAATTTCATATCTGAAGCATGCAGACCTAATTCCCATTTATTATTTCATGCTTTAAACTTTGTCAGGCTTTACGCTGAAACATTTTTCCCGTTGTGACAGTTCTGCTGTTAACACATGAGTGTGTGGCTTTCTGTACTCAGTGCTGCATTGTTGGCCTCCCTCGGGATATGACTCTGCTCGCTGAGGACAGAGGTGGTGACCTCACCAGTGATGGCTGGTTTGAGCAGTGCGAGTTTCGGTTGAAGAGGATGTCGTCTTTCACCAACACCGCCACGGCTCTCAGAATGAAGGAGACGAAGAGATTGAGGTGGATGTAGTTTCTGGTGCAGTGGAGCTTCCTGCACACATGTTGGTAATGAAAGAAATGTAGCATAGTGCAGTAAATGTTAAATAAAGATGCTACTTTTTTTATCTTAATGTTCTGATTTAATAATATTTTAGTATTCAGTCTTACCTGAATAGGCAGAGGATAGCGCACCCTGTAGTGAGGGCAATTAAAGACAGACTGTGACCCAGAGTGTACAACGTCTGCACGACCACGTAGAAGAACAGCTGCAGACAAAGGGGGAAAAAGAGCTTTTGTTAAATTATTAATGCATGTATATCATCCTTAACATATCACTAAGCTGGGCCTCAAATTGAGGTGAAGATTGTGAAGCATATTACATTGCCAAAAGTATTTGCTCGTCTGCCTTCATGTGCATGAACTCGAGTGACATTCCACTCTTAATCTGCAAGGTTTAATATATCAGCCCACCCTTTGCTGCTATAACAGTTTCAACTCTTCTGGGAAGCTTTTCCACAGGGGTTAGGAGTGTGTTTACTGGATGGCTCGCAGTCTTGGGGTTGAGGTCAAGCCAGTCATGCTCATCCACAGCTTTATGGACCTTGTTTTTTTGCACTGGGGCACAGTCATGTTGGGACAGAAATGAGCCATCTCCAATCTGTTCCCACAAAGTTGGGAGCATGAACTCCCAAAAAACAACCCCACATCATGATCCCCCATCCACCAAACTTTACGCTTGGAACAAGTGCAGTCAGACAAGTTTTGCATCCACCAAACCCAGACTCATCTTTGGACTGTCAAATGGAGAAGCACGATTGTCACTCCATTCTCCACTGCTCTAAAGTGCGTGGCTTAGCATAATGCCAGATGATGTAAGGCTTGGAATCAGGTGCTCAGCCATGAAATCTTATTTCATGCAATTTTTTATAGAGCTTAAATATAACTATCCGTTGTGTTGCTGAATTATGAAAAATCAAAAATAACTGATGATTTCCAATGCACTTTTATGTAGTTTGAGGTCTTTTATGTAAGTAACACTTCCATGTTTTTTATTACAAATACTAAAGCAACAGAAAAATAATCACATAATTCTTGAGGGTCAGATGGGAACGTTTTCCAGTTTTAGATGAAATGACTCTATTCAAAGAGAGATTTGTTTGGGCAGCGTGAGACAGAACCTAACACTCGGTGTCTCACACCAAAAATGTGAGAGTTGGCAATCCTGCATCAACAGCTGTCAAACTGCAGGCAAGTGTAAGCACACTAAATCACTTTGATTTAACAGAAATTCTGGACAGAAACATACGCAGTATGTGGCTGAATAAACAATGATAAAAGAGCTTTAAACAAATCAGCGTTTTGAAATTTGGCGTAGACACAAGTACTGACTAAGTGTGTTTAATTTGAAGATAAGATAAGATATGCTTTATTCCTGGGAAATTCCAAACTAGCTCAATAAGGAATGATTTACCATATCAGTGTTACCATCCCTGATATTTACATGCTTCACATGTGTTGTACTTATTTGTGTAGCATTATTTCTGTTCTGTTTTAGAGAAACCTTAGACAAGATAAGAGTTAAGATAATATATCGTATTACAGAAACAATAATTCTATTAAATTTAATTCAAACTTAATCTAATGCTGACTGCTTTTATTATTATTTCAACTTTATTAAAAACTGTAGATTTGATGATATCAAATTTGCTCTGAGGAAGATTTGTGTCTCTACATTAGTGACAAGAGGGGGTGTGGTGGAGCGAGCACGGGATTAATAGAGACAGAGTGAGAGAGGCAGGACAACACAATGGGCGATTCAGCTGCACTATTCGTGACCCAAAACGGGTCACGAATAACAAGTGAACAGGATGAAGCTGCGGTCACACAACAGTAGCCAAAATATATGAACACAATGGAGGACAGGTGTTTCAATTCACAGCTAAGTTGTTCTCCGTGTCAGGAAAAAAGGCACCAAAATTTAAAACTGAAAACTAATTTAGACTCTGTGATTTTTAGAATCTGCACTTGTCATCAGCTCACATGAACTGGTGCACAGTTTGATCCACACATTTGTAAGAGAAACTGAAGCCCTACCCCTAACCTTAGCTGAAGACCATAACCATACACAGGAGGAAGAATCTAATCTCGAATGCTTGAAACACTCAACAACAAAACTAACAAAAGGCAGGAACAAAAGGGTTTGCACAAAACTGGCAGGAGAACCTATGAATCCAACAGAGGTGAAAACTAACCTAACCTTAAAAACTGAGGAAGAAGGAAACTGACAAAAGTTAAGGGCTGAGTTGGAAAAGCTGACAAGGCTGAAGAACGGATGATTTAACAAAGAAAATGCTTTTTCCTTCATATCAAAAATGGGAAAAGGTTAAAAGATTCAGTTTTTTCCAGTTATTCAGGAAGAATACTGAGTATACTGAAAAGTACATTCATATATATTCAGTCGTTGGTTGGGCTCCTTTATCATTAATTATTCATTACTGTATTAATGTGGCATCACATGGAGGTGATCAGCTTGTGTCAAAGCTAAGAAGGTATTGAAGTTTGCTCTTATTGTAGCATTTAGCTTTTTTGCATGTTTGTCAGGTGTTTCTTATTTTCCTCTTGACAATAATCCATAGATTTTTCATGGGTTCAGTAATATTATAGTCAACAAACTATGTTGCGGTAACTTTGGCACTGAATGCAGGTACTACACCCTGCAGGAAAAGGAAATGTCCATCTCCATAAAGCTTGTAAGCAGAGGGAATCATGACGTGCTCTAAAATGTCCCGGTAGATGAATGTACTGACTTCAGATAAAACACAATGACCCGGCCACCATCAACACCAGCTGACAACTGCTTTACCACTTTTCCTCCAGAATCAAGGACTGTGACTTGCAGTCCTGTCTGTGAACAGCTCTCTGTGGACAGCCAGCCATTTAGCCAGGACCTTCTTTGGTTTAGCCTCCTTATTGAGGGATGCAGTGATCAACATCTGGACAACTGTTGAGTCCGCAGTGTTCCCAATGACTGTGGTTGTGTGTACTGAGCTAAACTGAGAGATACATGACATTTACACTGTTTTAATTTGCTGAAACTTTAAATTAAATATTACAATAAATTTAAATAACAGAGGCAGGCGAACCGGCAGAAACAGAAAGACGAGACAGAAAGCGCATGCAGGAAACACTGGGGCAAAGGCTAATAATACTTCTACTGATTACATACAGCAAACAAACAGGGTCAAAAAACTGAAACTCTGCAACACTACAAATAGTCACAGGAAAAACAGTTAAGTCAAGACTAGAGCAAAGACTCAAAATATAAACAAAACCCCAAATGTCAACATAAAGTACTCGGGACCACGAGATCTTAACTGTATGAAACAAATCAGGTTTCCGATATGAATCAAGTAGCTACACCCCCCAACATGTTGTTGTTGTTATTTGTTATTCCATGTTTAGTAGCAAAACGTAGTCAGTATCTATCTCTGTGCACTGTACACATACAGTTTATGCATATCTTCTTGTCCAAATGTATCTGAGTATAAAAAGAAAATCAACACGTTAATGCCAAAAATGCTAACGCTAAAGCTTCAAAATGCCAAAGTCCAGAAGCCAATTATGTCATGGTTCATCTTTTATATAAAGTCTGTGCAAATATCTGTTTTGTTTGTCAGGAGTCAGGTGAAGTGTCTAAATTAGAATCGTGTCTATCTGCAATTAGGGGCTGGTTATCAAATAACTTCCTGCTTCTAAATACTGATAAGACAGAGTTGATTGACACCGGCCACAAAAATTTCAATACTTGTCCCAAAATTTCATCTTGAAAATTGATGACTATGTCATAAATTGCAGGGACAAGGTTAAAAACTTGGGCATGTGGTTCGCCAGGGTACTGTCCTTCGAGTGTCATGTAAAAGAGACAACAAAGACCGCCTTTTATCATTTAAGGAACATAGCCAAAATCAGTTTTATCTAGCGACACTGCAGAGGTTCTTCTCCATGCATGTGTGTCTTCACGTATCGATTATTGTAATGCTCTCCTTTCTGGGCTACCAAAGAAAGGTTTTAGAGGTTTACAGATGTTGCAAAATGCAGCTGTTCGCATTTTAACTAAAACTGGAAAATTTAAGCACATTACCCCTGAACTAAAATTCTTTCATTGTGGGGTCAAAAATGACCCCACGGGTTGTTTTTCTTCAAAATCTTTAAAATGAAAAGTTGTAATATATTCATATTCCAGGTATTCCTCATAAAATATGTTTGTAACATGAGGCCATTTGCATTTTTATTAATTTTTTCATTAATTAAAAAAAAATGCAGTTTTTGTATCACTACCCCACTCTTCCATAAATGACCCCAAGCAGTTCCTGTGGAATCTTCTATGAAACTTTCATTCTTAGCAACTCTGACTGTCCCACTTACACTTCTGATGGATCAAGAATTAATTTTTACACAGTAACATACACGATTTATAGTCAGGGCTGCACATAAGTGGTTCGTAAGTGTGCATTCGCTGTCAAAATAAAAGTATTCCCAGAAATTCATAGAATACGTGCTTCTTTTGCGGTGGAGGAACACCAAAGTAATTGCTTACGGAGCTTGCTTCTTCGACATCTTTAGAATTCTGAACAAATGTCTATCCTCCTCCAGAACATCTAATGTACACAAACGAGTATCCCAACTTTTTATCTGGTACGCGTCTTTTATTTTGGTAAATGGCCTGTATTTATATAGCGCTTTACTAGTCCCTAAGGACCCCAAAGCGCTTTACATATCCAGTCATCCACCCATTCACACACACATTCACACACTGGTGATGGCAAGCTACATTGTAGCCACAGCCACCCTGGGGCGCACTGACAGGGGCGCACTGATTTGACAGCAAATGCGCACCTGAGGACCAATTATGTGCAGCCCTGTTTATAGTTTCCTGTGCATTTCAAACATTGTCCTTTCTGATTTTTTTTTTTTAATATCTAAAGTAACATGGCTGCTATGAGGCCAGCTAGGATCCCTGTGGACCTTGCCCTATAAATGATCCCGGATGGATGGGATGAAGAGCCCATCGGAGGCACTGACTCAGAATCTGACATCTCAGATATAGAGGACCCAGACTACTGTCCCCCCCGCTGGACAAGGCCAGTCAGATACAGAGGAGTCCTCTGAAGAGGAAATGGATATTGAGTCTAACAGAATGAGCCCCTCTTACTGCTCTAGCCACAATATTCTGAATTAGTCGGCCAGGGCTTGCACCTGGGTCTAG